CTAAATTACGGGTGAATTTTCCCCCTCATTCAAGATGAGTTGTGTTTTCCTCTCAAAGTCAATACCACGCTGCCTCCCTCATTCATTTCTCAATAAACTTGCCGATGAATTTCAATCAAAATGCARCAGTGGATGGGGGTTGGGGGCTTGAGTTCTTTTAAAGCCCGTTGGGTGTGGATCATACTGAAAATGGGGCAAGAAGAGGAGGAGGAGAGAGAAATCCTCRTCTATCAAGAGCCCCCCACTCCCCTTCATCACTCCCTCCCTGTTCTGTCTATCTTTCTTGTTGCCAAGGACTGATGCTGTGACTTAGTGAGGACGATCCATTTTAAGAGCCATTTAAAAAACACACCTCTAATGATACAGTGGGACAAAAAGYGGGTCCAATTAAATGTAAATCAATGAATACTATCCTTACTGGGGGAAAATGAACTCACCAATACATTCATTTTTCTCGTGAAAGATAACTACTATACACTTCATAGAAAGGCATAATGGAGAAAATACATGCTCAACTGCGAGCACTTATTTCAATCAATTTCCTGCTGGATTTCACAGGTCACTTGCTGATAACACGCTGTGGAATAATGCCACAGTCTGCTTCTCAAAGCCTACCTGACAAGCTGCCTGACAGTGGGGGAGTGCGAGCACGTGTCACGTCAGCCCTCTAATTGGACACAAGGACCTTCTTCCGAGGAACCTTGTCGCGATGCACATAAGCTCACGAGGCCTTCAAACTAGGCCCATCTAACTTGGCAACGAGTGCCTGCTCCCACTCCTGTGGAGCTAGTGCTAAATACCAGCGTTGTAATGAGACAGGCAGGTATGGGGACATGGCCAGTGGATAACATGCTTTGACACATGCTTAAACCATTATGTCAACTGGTTACAACCCACTTCACTGCGGTGGTGACATTCATAAATGCTTGTGTCATCCTTCCTCGTTGCTGCACTAAATTTTGGGGCTAGAAAAAAAAATCAGCTTTTAAAAAAGAATCCAAAATATTATGTGGAGCAGATTTAAAGATGGTAAATACACAACTCCTGAAATATTTGGCGTGTCTACCTCTGAAGCTGATCTATTTACATACTTCTTTGAATGCCTTTGATTATAACATATCTTTCAGTAGGCCACACCCCATCGCCGACCAACAACTAGTGAAGTACCAAACCCAACCCTGCAGGACAGGAAATGAAAAGGAAGCTCTCCATCTAATCAGCTTGTAAGTCTAGGACTTCAAAGTGACGGCAGGGCGGAGAGGATAGGCTCAATTCACCAGCTGGACAGCACAGGGCCATATCTGATGTGCTCCGATAACACGTCTGTGTTTGTTTATTTAATTCTTGGAGGGGAGAAAGGGGCATCAAAAACTACATTACATGTTAGCCTTCTAAGAGTGGATCAGTAACACCGTTGATTTTGGATATCATTATTTATAGCGCTGACATACTGTGTTGCCCACTAAGTTTGGATGGACGTCCGTAGCACGTGCATCTGTTTTCAACTTGATAAAATAAGAAGCATATCTATAAAGAAATCCTACTTCTGCCCTATCAACCTCTTTTTTTCCACTCCCTTACAGGGTTGACATTTCTTGATCTCCACCAGTATTGAGTGAAGCACACATGACCCCTTTGTCCTTATGTTGATGAATGACTGTCTCATACCTATTTTGTCAGATTTTGGTGCAGTGGAGTCGATAGCGTCACCTTGACTAGGAAACTTTGTGATCCATCAGCCCTCAAGGCTGTCTGGCCACAACTAAGGCCTGGCAAGAACAGCTCTCTGTATGGGGCATCTGCCTCATCCAAAATCCTTCACCCAGTGTGCTGGAGTCTTGTGAGGTCGAACGAATGGCTCTTATTACTGCCGCTTTACAGTGGAGGGGAAAAAAGAGAAAAGGAAGAAAAAAAAACACTTGACTTGTACTAATAGCTGAGAAGCCATGCTGGTCACCAAAGGTCTGAAGACGAAGCACCCTGTCAGTGCCCAGCTTGGGAAATTAGCAAATAATGTTCCCTTCCCCCTGACAAATATGTGACAGCTCGCCTTCGCCAATCATTCTCTCCTAACGTTATGATGCATGTCCTGGATCCCCACCGGAGGATACAGGCGAAGTTTACTGACCCTCAATTTACCCGTGACAAATGGGGTCCCGGTAAATGTGCGTTTTCTGGGGCGCGGAAGGGGTTCATTTTAAGCAATCCTGGTTATGTGGATGTCACTGATTAGGATAAATAGTGGCTGAGTGTGTTAGGACTGCTTGCAGAACCATATTACCAGGGGCCAGTATCGTTGCCCCTGGAGGGGAGCGCTCATGGAAACTTGGCCAAGATAAAAAACCAAAAGCTCTGATGCAATTAGGAGCTTAAATTGGATGAATTGTACAGTCAAGTTTTTATTTATGATTTACTCTTTCACACGGCTCTGTAACTAGGCAGTAAAATGGTTAGGAGGCAGCAAATGAGGCTGATAATTGTGACTTTTTGTTTAAGATATTCGATTAAACTGACTTGTGGTGTTTTCGGTGCTTAATAAAGTGTAAAGTATAATAAAGTATCGACTCAGGTTCAACCATGACTTTCTCCTTTTGATTTTCTACAACCTTGCTGACAGTTGGTTCTACAGGTCTTGTCCTGACCAATAGAAAACCAATACATGGATTAGACAGAGGACAAGCATAGAAGCTCCAGGGGGCAACACACTGTCTGAAGTAAAGAAATAAATAAAACAACAAAAATGGTCAATTTCTTACTGCTTTAAAATGTGTCAATGAAAGACATATATAAGCTCCATGAATCAGCCAGCTACAGCCTACTAAAGTTTTATATAGTCTGTCTGTTTGTCTCATTAGTGTTTTAAACATTCAATAGTCAATGCCAACAGGATTATTTGACATAGACTACAGGGTGCTCTCTTACTGAGAATAGATTGTGAGTTTTGGAGCTGTTCCAGGGTGCTAACCTGAGTGAGAACGTGTCCCTCTGCTGTTAGAATTGACTGCAGTCTCCTCTGTGTTGACTCTTGGTAATTTGTGATAATTTCTTAAATTGACCAAGTTAAATCTCCACAATTAGGGCGGTGGTAAAAGAGGAGCCGACATGGAGAMGAAGAAGCAAAAAAAAGAGGAGAAAAAAGAATCCCAAAACTTGCTCCTCTCAAGCTGTGTTCTCAAGTTCTGCTTGAAGCCAAATGCTTTGATAACTAGACCTTTGATATGTCCGTGGTACTCTACAAGAACACTCTGTGCCTTTTTGACAGCATTCTGTCACTGCATGTCCTTTACCACTCATGTAATGTGCTATTGCAACTCCAAGCCTTTTCTAATCTATTTCTGGATGTAGGGCCATTTGTTCAAGTGCCATAAATCAGAAAGAAAAACTATGGTTTTAAAAATGAGCTGTTTCGTTTTTTAATATACGACCCACTCTCTTGCACTCAATGCATCAGCCAATTCACATTTTAATGTCTTACATGAACCMACTAACACACTTTTATCAAGCAATTACTATACATATGGAATCAGTGGCACCTAATCTTTGTTTTAGCTGTTCTGCTCTTTTTAACGGTTTTATTCTCTCAGCCGTCACCTGCTGTACAATCAGGGTGAGACACAGAGGGAATAGGAAAGCTAAGGAGTCGGACCTGTCTATTGGTGACTTTCGCTTTTAATTCACCGCTCTAATCAATTGTACCACCGTTGCCTCCAGGGGTAATTGTATCTTAATACCAACTGGAAGTGAGAAGGGAAGACAGAGAGGAAGAATGGGGGGGGAGAAAAATCAACAAAGATAGAGAGAAGGGGACACATTTCTCCCGTAAAACCTGATGGTAATCATCCCAATCCGCTTAGCCTCTGTGACTAATGGGGTCTGTTCTTCAGGGACCTGGCACTTTCACTGGGGTGCTATAGAAGCCATTAATGTCTTAACTTATACACCTTCTCAGGGCTGTGCAGTAACACATGTACACACACTCTTTTGCACTCCCCCCTCATTCACTTGCACAGAAAGAGTCACGCACACACTTACGCAGCCACAATACACTCCTGTTTCATTATCCTGGTGCCTTGTTGGCCTCTGCTCTGCTCCTGCTAGGGAGGTTAAACGCAGGAGAGCTGGCCCAGACTGCACGGTTGGAGAAGAAGGGGACGGAGGCTGGGGGTGGTAGTTTTGGAGGTTTGGGGATTGAGAGAGGGAGGACTTGATGAGAAACAGCTGCCCCAGGATGGAGGGGTCTGGTCGGAGAATTTCTTTCTTTTTTTTTTTTTCTTTTTTTCTGGGGGTTACTACAGCAATGGCCTTGCTTTGCTCAAGGCCAGGTCTGTGTTCAAAACCTGGGACTGCTGTTGGAGGGGGTAAAGTGCTCCAACGCGCCCTCATTTCATTCTGCCCATCAGAGTCAGAACAGACAGAGGCTTCCAGGTCAGACAGGCTCTGACCCTCCCAACCTCTGTCTACTCACCAATGATGACAGATAAGACCACCACTTCCTTCTGTTAGCCAAAGATAATCAGATCTTTTACTCAGTGTGAAACTCACACTCCCTTTTTTTTCCGCTCACACATCCCTCATCTCTTCCCACACTTTCTCTCTCATGAATTCTTGTTGAWAACACATGAGAATAACTTCAGACACGCTCATTCACTTAAAGCAGTTATTGATTTTCTAATTTGATTCATAAAAAAAYGAAACCGCATTTGACTTATAAATTCAGCAAATTAACAAAAAGCGTAATCTCTTACGCTAAATGACAAGTAAAGACTGTTGGGAGAATGAGTTATCTCGACAGTTTGGGTTTAATCGAGTTGAGAGTAACATCTTTTCACTAACTAAGAAGATGTTACACATTTTCTACATTCATGAAGCCTGGTCACTTTAATATAAGTGTCTGGGCTGATTGCTGGAGGCTCTATCCAGTGAGAGGAAGGTGGAGGAGTACAGTAGAAGCCTGGAGAGAGAAAAAAAAACAAAGACAGGATGAGACGGTTTTGACTTACCAGTGTAGACAAATCTCCCAGGGGCACCTTTGCAGAACTGCTTAGACTTGTAGGACAGCGTGACTTCCACAACACCAGGGATGTGCCGAGGCGGAGTCTGAACACGGATGGCGTGGGGAGTTATCAGCTGGATCACGGGGACAAAAAAAGAAAGAAAGAAAAATAAAAGATTAATCCACAAGAAATGCTTTGAATCATGTGAAGCTAAACAGATTTTTTTATTTTGTTTTGTTTTTTATTAAGCAATAAACGCATACCTCACTCCATACAAGCATAGTGCCAAACACGACTTGTAGGCCATCGAAAAAGTTGTCCCCAATGATGATGACAGTGGCACCTCCAGTGGTCCATCCCTCGCTGGGGCTGATAGCCTTGATGCATGGGGTGGCTGCTTATGCAAGACAAAGAGAAGAGCAAATTCAGCACCTATGCTTTAACACTCGAAACACATGTCTCCATTCACTCACTCGGGCACATTACTACATCACCTCTACGTTCAGCCCTTCATGTCTTTCTCACAAAGACATATTATGGAAATTGCCTCAGAAAAAAAAGGGGGGAAAAATGATGGATTTGTCCTTTAAGGCATGAGAATCAAAATCATTTATCAGCGCAGTGGAGTGGTGTAGTTAAGCAGACCCTTCAAATGGTCCACTTCACAAAGGCTAAACGCCAGGCTCACTAGGAAAATGATTTGATGGAGCAAATTATGTGTCAGGGCAAATGTAGCTATCAGAATTGATTAAGCATGCACCCGCATGTACAGTAAAAATTTTAAAGTTGAGCACATCTTAAATGAGTCAAGAATACAGGCAGTTAAAGTGGAAATGACAAGCTAAAGCTTTGCTGCTTCATGTTATTTCGTTACCTTTGTTCTGCAATACAGTTCAGGCACACTGAGCGTAGTTTCAGGTTTCATAACGTGAAATGTGCTCATGAATTATTCAGATTGAGGGTGGGGTTTTTTTTTGCTTTCTTTTTGTGATCGATTCAATCCATTTCACATTGTTTATTACAATGCTTTTCATCTGGCATGACTTCTGCTATGTTGCTCTGCCATTCATCAACACTCGGGGTTGTTATTATAATCTAATTTGAGTGATCTTGTGCCTCCCTTTCACTGTCATTTGATACATTACCTTTAATATGGTGCTCAGCAAAACACCATGTTTACAACAGAAACAGCATGACAACTAGCCATAAAATAGCAATATCAWATTTAATCCATTTTCATCAATATCTTTTAATGCACGATAAATTGTGGGCATTTCCCGCCCCCTCGATCCTCAAAATGTGCACAACTATTCCTGCAAGTTCCCTTTTATTCCCCTTTACAAGCTCACTTCTAAACCTCCTTTATCCTTTCCATCCAGTAAGTAAATCACAGTCAGCCATTGTTGTATGGATCACCTCAGACAAGACATCTCCCTTTGTTTGCCTTGCTGTTGGGTCTGTTCAGGTCATGTTTGCTCTCTCTCTCCCTGCCCATAAAGTGCACACACACACATTGGTACTACAGGGAATCTGACTTTAACAGGCGCTGTTGACTTCATGCTAATCGCCTCGTACAGATTTTCATTTGTGAGGCCTGGAGGAGTGACATTTGCTTTCCTTAATTGCGAAGCAGAGCGTCTGAAAGAGGACCAACCCTCCATGGGCATGCTGGGCCCCCTCTAAGGGCCTGACCTTCATCAGTGCGGACGATTACAGCAAATAATTCACCCTTCAAAATTACTGTAAACAAATTGACTTTGGGGATGAGAGAGAACGGAGGAGGGATGGGTTGGGGGGGGTGTCGGCAGGAAGGAGGAGGAGGCAAGAAAAAGTGCCTGATGGTGACGGCGACTGTTGGGGGGCAGCTGCAGCCTGAAACCTATGACAGGCATACACAATCACACACACGAGCACAGACACACCACCTCGGAAATCCCAGTGTCCCCCCAATACACACACACACACACCTCCCACACACACACACACACACACACACAGAAGGACCCATGGAGAGGCAGCGATTGAGGCCCTAAGCCGTCCACCCTTCTGCCTGAAAATTTGCATATGTCTCAATGCACAGACAGAGCGGGGAGCATGTGCTGAATGGGGACCGTGGCGAAGTGGATTACACAGTCAGCACAGGCGATCTGATGACAGACACGCACAATGCCCCCCTCAGCAGATGATAGGCATCATGAGGAGTGGACGGATGAGGATGCAAAAGAGCCGGCCTGCTGGTCTGAGTGCTGCACCGCTAAGTCTTTGCAAACTTTGGAGCACAATGGAGAAAACGAACCCAAATTCAAGTTCAACGTCGGGGCTCCATTTAATGATTTATTTATTTTTGTGCGCAGAATTGAATTTACTTAAAGATCACTGTTGCTTTGAAATGATCGCAGGCTGCCGATCTGTTTTAATCTTCTTTTTTTTTTTTCTACTCTGTTTAGGGGCGAGCCGTGGAGGACGTCAAAACTGATCCAAGATCTGAGCGAAGGAGGTCCGAGCTCTAGTATTTTGACACTCAAACAGGTCTGATGTGGTCCTGTGAAGCTGTCCTTTGTTCTGCCTGCTGAAATGTGTTGTAATTGTGCTGTGGGATGTCCAGATGGTCGGTTGATAGTGCAGCTGATGGGATTATACCTTTTACCTCTCCCTGGGCCATCTGTTCCCTTTGACTCTCTCTGTCTCTCTCTCTCTGTCTCACTCTCAGCCTCTCCCACTCTTGCTCCCTCCTTCTCTTTCTCCTTTCCTCCTCTCCTTTTTTCCCCTCATTCTTTTCTCCTTCTCTTTCTTCCTCTTAGACCCAGCAGTCTGGATTCACTTGTCTTTATTGCATAAACCCTAACAGCATTACAGCCASTTGGCATGCAAATGAGGCGGGCGCTGCAGGCCCTATGCTGAGTCTCCTATATTGTCTGCGGCTCCATAATCGTGGGACTAAGCTAAGGAACGTGCATGTATGTGTGTGCGTCTACATGTGAGCGAGATTGTGACTGCATTTGTCGGAGGTGATGCTGTGTGTGAAACACTCAGCTATTTGTGAGCGCGTTTATGCACCTTTGAGCCTGAATCTATACATGTTTGAGTGACAGGCCGCCTCAAAGCACATTCATGTCTGAATGCATAATACGCTTGTCGTGTGACAGTGCACACAAGCGAAGGAAAATGTGACACGGGGAAGTCTGTTATCCACAGGCTATGCCCTCTCTGCGCCAATAGGGGGCAGCACTTCTTGATCAATGGCAGGGAGCCGGCACAAGCGCAGCCTGAGGAGCAGACAGCCACAAAGCTGACACTTCTCTCCCTGTGAACTCCAGAGGAAGAATGTGTTGCTAATTTAAAGCACGCTGTCTGTCCGCGCCGAGTTGTCAGAGCAGTATGGACGGCTTGACTAGAATTACATTTTATAGCCAGGTCTTCTTTTCTCGTGTGTCACATCTCTGTTTGTTAAAGGTGACTCAAAGAAAGTGAGCCATTGCTGCTGATGCATGATAAATTAGTTTGTTGTGGAGCTGAGAGAGAGGGAGGGAGGGAGGGAGGGAGGGGAAAAAAATCTCAACTTGTTGTTAATCAGAGAGAAGGTGTTTTAAAGTTATTAGACAAAGACATGTTCAACTGGGCGGTTGACAATAGCTTCTTTTCCCGCTTTACGGGGCGTCACTCTGCTGCTTTGAAGAGTGTAGTGAAGAGAGGAATAAAAGGAAGGGTTGGGGTAACCTGTAAAGAACACAAGCGCACACAAATACACATAGACAAACACACACGGCACACAGAAGGGTCTCATGGGAGTGGGGGGGAACATGGAGGCAAGGGCTCAACCTCTTTAATTGCTCTCCTCATTAAGAAACTGGTTGCTAGGAGATCCACACCTATCGTGTCATAAACGTGAAACACACAAACAGAACGTCAGCGAACATAATGACTTTGGTGCTCCGGGCAGGACTTTAATTATTTGATTTTGTTCTCCAGTAGAGGAGTCATTAATAAAGACAAAAACAAATAGATTAGCTTTTTCCCCCACTAGGACTAGGGAGAGCACAGAGATATATTAATTGTCTGGTCCTTTTTTTTTTTCTTTTTTTTTTTTTTTTTTTTTTTTTTTTTTTTTTTTTTTTTTTTGTGTTCGTCGTTGTTGTATTAAACATTACATTTGCTTTTGGTGATAGAACCATTAATGCCCATTAATGTGTAGAGAAGCTTGTTTTAGTCAGTGGTGTATATAAACTGTTTGCCCAGCCATAATTGGCTCTTGAAATTTGAAGATGAGCCATTTGCACACTTGGCCTAAGTCGGTTTACTTTTTCTTTTTCTTTTTTTTYCCCTTTCTCCTTTTTTTAACAATCTTTCAGCTGCGTGTTTGCTTCCATCTGCAAGTGGAAGCCATAAGGGTCAGAAGGTTATGCTTTGTGCATTTTACTTTTCAGATTTCCCATGGTTTGGTGGTCCTACTTTTCTCTCTTTTGGCTGAGAAGGCAATCAGTCCATCATATGGAATCAGTTGGAAGAAAAACAGTATGTTCTGTTTTCCTCACAGACCACCCCACCCCTCCATGCACACACACACACACACACACACACACACACACACACCATCAAGTGACCCCCACCCCCCCACTTCTGAATTTCTCCTTTCCTCTGTTTCAGCTCTCTCCCAGCTAAATCTGCAGAAGCCCAATGGCAGGAAATTGACCTCACAGTCAAATTCTTCAGCAATTTGATCATGTTTCACAAAGGCTTTTAGGACAAATGTAGGTGCATTAGGAGACTGGAAGTAGTGTAACATTTTTTTTAATTGTTCTGAGTATCATCATCTTTAGTAGTACAGAAACGATAAACACACTGTCTAATGCACACTGTTTCCAGTCAGCGCAGAACACAAATGATGAGGGAAGCAAAAAGCAACTTAAATAGTAAAAAAAATGAAAGTGATCGAGGAACAAAAGATTGAGATTATAAGGGACTAAAAGCAGCTAGGTGTGTGATCTGAAAGGTGGAAGGGTGTCTGAAAGAAACTATAAGGAAATGAAAGAAGGGTAGCAAATTATAAGATGTAAAAATGTGCCTACCATTCTCCAGATAAGGAGGCGTACCTTCTGAAGGGTCGAGTCTGCGAGCCCTTCGCCCATGCTTGGAATTGTTGTGTACAAACATGTTGTCGGAGACAGCCAAGACGTGGCCGTCCACATTGACGGTCGTCGATACGACAACCTGCAGGAGGAGTAGGAATAAAAATTTATTTAAAAAGTTTAAATAAAGAAATCAAACACTGAATAACGTCAGTGCATCTATAATTTAGAGATACAGTAAATACAATCATATAATCATTTTAGAATACTTAAGAATTTTTGTTCTGATGAAGAACGGATTTATTACTATTGTTAAACTCATTGAAGTGCATTTCCATTACCTTGCCTCTTATCTATTGTGTTTTCTTCTTGTGTCCTGCTTTTGTGTACAGCTAATTGACTTTTCAGTCACTAAAATATCATTTCCGTTTACCCACAATACCAACTTTCATCACAGCCAATAGCTCAGAATTATTGATCAGCTCGCCCACCTCTCTGAGTGTGGAAGGGCCTACTTTTTATTTTTTTTTAACTGGAGTCATTAGCAGGCAAGCCGTACACCATCTCATCTCTCAGCAAACATTTTACCAGGATCAAATTCCAAGCCACACTCTATATTTCATAATGCTTATTTTTGTTGTTGTTTTTTTGGCTACCACATTCCAAACAGTGAGCCGCATGTGAATGGCCAAAGTGTTTCTGAGCCGGAAACAGAGAGCCCCTCACAGGTTTGCTTCGCCGGTAAGTGACCTCGATGTAGCGGTGGAGTTTTCAGGGGGTACTTTTTTTTTTGGTTGGTTGGTTGGTTTGGGAAAGGGGTGTGGAGGTGGAGGGGAAAGTATGGGAAGTGAAAGAGCTCCATTCTTGTGAGCAGGTTCAGAGCTGGGCCAAGCAGAGGATGATGGATTGGGCCCTTTCTGGCCTCCAGCTGGTTTTGGGGGGTAATAAGTAGAGTCGAAGGCATGTAAAATACACAACTTTGGCYGGAGAAACACCTACGGTGGAACATCTGGGAAATCTATTTGGAGGGGGAAATGGCATACTAACAGCTAGACAAAAAAATAAGGCATGACCATGAACAACCATAAAAACAAAACATTTTGTTTTAGACAAAAAGTGAAACTTAGGTCTTGCATTCCTTCTGACATGCAGAAGTGAAGGGTGAAAGCCCGTGGTGGCTGTCATGCATCAGTCCACATTCACCCTGAGGGAAGATTTGAAGAGGCAGGGGAGGTCTGATGGTGGTGACATCAGGAGGGGACACCCTGTCTTGTCTGTTTCATGTCCGGGCTTCCTCCTGAAGGATGCTGGCTTATGTGTCTATCATGGGATAGTGCTGCCAAGGATGGACGTCCTCCTGTAGTTTGTAGTTACCCTGATAGGACAAATCACACTAACTCTCCTTTTCTCACCTTGACCTAGCGGGCTGCTTGTGGTAAAAATGTCTGGAAAGGATGGATGAATGGTTGGATAAATGGATCAGTGGGGGGGGTCAATCAGTGCACAACTCAACTTTTGACACATTAGAAGCGAGAGGGTAAAAGAAACAGTAAAAGCACTCAGTGTTAATGTCATTTTAGACTAAACTGCAGCCATTTTCAGATGTTTTCACTGGCTACACATGTGACTGACATTAACTGTATGCATATGTGGCTCAGAGTACAGGGATGTGAAGAAAGCAAACATATGTGCTCCTGGCATTTATGTGCATGCATCTGTATGTGCACGTGCATCTGTGTGCATGCTGGTGCATATGTGTGTTCAAAAAAAAAAAAAAGGAATGCATTTCCTCCGCCAGACAGATCTTGAGTTAACACTGTTGTTACATGTGGTTGGATCGTTCTCCCCTCTGTGCTGAGGCTCAGAAAGCTGTCAGGGACACAATTGATGGCGCTCTTAAATCCTATATCCTTATTTGTGTCAGATGGTATTCCCTAATAAATATTCTGTCCCGAGAACACAGGACACAAAATCCCTCACTCTCTCTTTTCTCTAGTTTTTGCCTCCGTCAGTGTCAGTAATAAGAATGTGTTCATATGTGAATGTGTGTCAGTGTGAGTTAGTATAATGTAGCAGCTGTAGCTGCGCTTTTCTACACCTGCGCGTGTGTGTGTCTAAAAAAAAAAGAAAAAGAAAGAAAGGGAGACAGACAGTGAGAGACAGTGACAGAAATAGAACGTATGTGTGAAATAGGTTTCAGTCACCTGGAATCTGCGCATGTCTCGTGGATTCCCTGCATTCTTCAGACAGTTCTGATTGCACTTGAGGAAGAACTTTAGGAAGAATCTGAAAGAAAGCACAAGGAAAAGTAAAATCTAWTAGCTATTTTCTTAAAGCTGGAACATTTACTGGAAAAGTGACAGGATATTTAAAATAGACTCCTCAAACACTCCCAGTTACACATTTAGTCATTCATCGCACTCTATCCCATTTTTTTATTTCCTTTTTCTTTTAAATCAAGAGCATCAGTCTTTTTGTGATCTTATCCTCTCACCTGAGTTCACAGGTCTTCCCTAACATCCATCTGCCACTAACATACAGGAAGTCACTTGATATTCCACCCACCTCTTTAATCCCAGGACACCCCCTGTGCAATTAAAGTTCTCCTGTTCAATAGGGAGGCAAATGAGGCCCACCTGTGACCAGGTCTTGTTTGAAGAGCATCAGGGATAAAGGACCTAACAAGGTGAGAGCGCGCCACAAAACTTATAGTCCTGTCAGGCAATTAGGCGGACACTCCTGGGACCACAGTATGCCACACACACACAGACACACACATAATGCATACACACACCCATGTACTTGTGGGTGGGTGAAGCAATTATGCCACAAATTACAACCTGGCTAATCGTCTCTGAACAAATGTCACGTCTGACTGAGATCTGGGCTTGGTTAGTTCGCAAGCTCTTCTTCCGTTTCCTTTAGGTTCTTGCTAAATTTATCGATGCGATTTTAAACTGAGAGGTTTATATCGGATGCGGCCTTCCTGACGTGAAAGGGTTAAAAATGGAAAAATTACAAGTAAGAGAACACCACTGAGAGGAATTACCTCAGATGCAGCCCATTGTGTAAAACTGTACACAACTACAGAGAATAAAGAATGAAATCGACTTTGTTTTTGCAAATTCTCTCCACAGAATCATGACCGATGGTGGCTTTGCTTTCTCCAATTATGAATACAGTGCAGTCAAATTTATTTTTCATCACATTGCATTGTTATTACAATATGCAACTCCATTGTTGCCATTATAATACTAAGTTGACTCACAGAATCACAGTGGTTTACTGGATTACCATAGATTGCACCATAGATTGCACGGCCATTTCATTCAGCTAAATTCAGTGGCTTGTGTGGCCCTACAAGGATGCTTTCACAACACTTAAGACTTCTTGTTCACCCAGTGGGATTCGGGCCAGGCCATAAATCAGTCTGCAATGACCCTTCTAACCCTGGCCACATTAACACATGCACTGGTCATTTAGAAGCGTTCTTCGATAGACTCCTATACCTTTTGCTTCACCAAGGGCCCAGGAGGGAGAGGCGAGGTGAGAAAATATTTTCGCTCCACATCCAAGGAGCTTTGGCTCAGACATCAATAAAAGATGTTTTAAGCCATGCCAGAATGCTGATTGCCTGTCGGCGTGTGGCGCGGCCGTAAAAAAACTTGACTTGTCATTAGTGCATTTCACTTGATTGTGTTCAGTGTGTTTTCAGGTTGCATCTGTTGGCTGATCATCAAAATGACCATTATGTACTCTAATTCCCTGACCTTGTTTTTATTTCCCCAAAGAGTCATAATGTAGAGCAGCAGACATCTGCGGAAAGCAGACCTGAAATACGACTTTTATTTGTCTGTCGCCTCTCGTACAGAATGTGTGTATTTATGTGYATGTGTGTGTGTATGTGTTTGCTCGGCAGTGTGTTTGTGTGGCGACGTGCATGCACATGCATCACCTATTGAGAGACAATTTATGTCAGCGCAAGAGATAGAATATATTTCCCAGGCAATGCATTCACTTCATAAAACACACACATCACTTCCAGAGTTAGTCCCGTCTCTTTCTTGGACACTTTAATTCTTTTACATACTGTTCCTCCAACAGCAAAGCCAAAAGTTAAGAAGCAATAAACACAAGAAATTGAGTACTCACACATTCATAAAGTAGTTCCTTATGTTTAATATTATGAAAGCAATTAAGCACAATTTCTCTCCTAAAAAGATAAGCTTGATTTTCATCGTCCACAGTAGTAGAGGTGCTRTAGCATCCATTACATTTGAGTTGGTTAAAATTTTCCATGAGTGCCGTGCAAATTGGTCCTTGGTGAAAAGGAGAGCAATTAAGACAAGGCCCCTCTCTCTCTCTCCTTTACTTCTTAAATATCTACAGAAGTTTGTGCTGGTGTTTTGGCACGCACAGAGACAAAAGGAGGTTGTTTAATTGTTTTTTAATGGGATATCAAGTCGTCGCTGCCATTAGATGTTGGCAATGGAGGGCAAAGGGGGATAGAGAGAAAGAATGAACTGCAATTAGGTTTGATTAAAGCTATCCTTCTCAATAATCAGCTGTTCTGACAGGACAGGGGGACCCTGGTGGCCGCCGAGATGGAGGAAGGTGTTGAGTGATATTAAGGCCAATGAAGGGGATATTAACATGGCTAATTAAAGCTCTTCCAAAGCCGGTAGAGGAGGCTCTCAGTGGACTGCACTGGATGAAATAATCGGCCAAGGCAGCTATCAGTTGGAGGAGAGAGAGAGAGACAGAGACAGAGAGAGAGAGAAAGGAACACGGGATGGGGTGGGGTGTAGTTCATATGAGAGAAGGGGGGCGTAAAAGGAGAGATAGTTGGAGGCGTAAAGGAAAACTATGAAGTGTGAAGAAAGACAAAGAGGAAGACATCGACAGGCATATAGAGGAAGACTTCCAGGGTAGCTCCAGAAGCTCTTTTTGACATCAAGCCTCTCAGTCTGTATGCCCGAAGTCTGCCAGTATAACTAAGATCTGACATGGGCTTTTATCTCCGACAGCTAGTCATACAGGTCCACAAATCAACATTAAAACAATCCTGCTCATGCCTTGGTCTAAGGCAATTAATACGGTTCTCCTGTAGTACCTCCATGCTCGCCCACTGCCGAAGCTACTAATCATGCCATAATGATTTCTCTCCCTCTGGTCAAAGGGGAAATAGATTGTCTCTTTAGTAATGCAGCAGGCTCTGCGCCTTCCACTCCCTGGCTTCACAGACCCGGTAATTGAGGAGAAAAAGGCCGACTTTGGCACTTTGACTGATTTGAGGGCTGCTAGACCCTCTTATCTTTACTCTGATCATTTTAGGCTGACACTCAAAGGAAGACCCATCGCCCTAATTCGAGCTCACCCTCTCCCATCATCAAACAGAGGGGGGATAGGAAAAAAAAGAAAGCGAGAGGAGAAAAAAAGAAAAACAAACACGAGGAAGGCCTTCTCCCATTTAAATGGCCAACTTAATTGCCAGGTTGATGTCACTCATGCAAAAAAAGTCTACCCTTTTGATTTGAGTGAAGAGGGCAAATAAGGATAATGTTGTATTATTAAGAAGGTTCTGTCGATCATTGAAGCTTACAGTCTTGTCAATTGAATTCATTTTTTAATCCATTTGTTTTCCAACTTTTCATTTTTAATGACTTGTAAAAAAAGGTTACATTTAGACTGTCTAAAAAAATTTTCACTCAACGATTTTTTTAATTACTTATTGGGGAGCTTTTTTCCCCTCTCTCATCGATAGTACACCTTGTTCTTATTGTTCAAAAGAGCTTCCCCATATTTACTTAGGCCGTTACACAATACACTGACAGATGGCCACAGTATCTGTAAGAGGCAGGTATTGACAACTCTAAGCTCCTGATTGGTGCTCCAGCACTAATGACTAGCATGCAGTGTCCACAGCCGGCAGCCATGACAGTGAGGTCATCCGTTGCAGGGCGGTGAGTATCGATCACCACCCAGCTCCAGCCCATCAGGCCCCAGCTGCCTCCCAGACTCAATGGGCCCCTGTTACAAGAGCCCTGTAAGAAACGGCTCCCAACACCAGACTACAATCTGCTGACACCAGATCTCTACGCTGAGATAGTAGTACACGGGTCAATAGCGTATCGGATTTCCAAAACGCCAGGGTCTTAATGTCAAGCCTCCTGCCTTCCCTACCTACTGCTCCAGTTATTAGGCACTTCACTGAACTGCATTCAGATCCCTGTTGTGACAAGGCGGAGCAGGTAAAACGAGAAATAGAGACACTTATAGATCTTAATCTTCCCGAACACTTATTTATGCAGCTGAGTGGACTCAGATATATGTGCCTGTTATGTCCCTGGGAGGCCAAACTGAGCAGCCGGGCCAGTTCTGTCATACTCTGGTTTGCCACTGCCCTCCCCTCGTCAARCAGGGCTGTTTTTCTCGCCTTAGCTGAAGTAAACCACAGCACATTAACAATATTTGCTCTACCCCTGTACAAGCGCCAAGGGACCAGACCCACAGATCCTATCACTTCTTTATCAGGGAACAAGTGCCTCACTATCCAACCTTATTGGGTTTGGAAGATTAACCCCTTCCACTCACGGGCGCTACCCGCCTCCTTTGAGAGCAGGGAGGCAGATGTCACTGTGATTATTATTGTTCGACATCAAATATCCCAACAACACGTCTCCGAGAAATTTATTGGATACTTCCAAGGCCTTTCCTATTTTTTTTTCTTTATTTTTTTCAGCTGCTATTGTCAGTTCATTTTGTYGTTCCATATTTCATATTTTTGTTGGTGGTATGTGTGTTTTGAGGGTGTCACAAATAATTTATATGCTTCCCTCTGCGACGTAAGATGTAGCTCTGTCCCTCCATTCATCCCTCTTTACCCTCTCCTCCACCATCCCCCCTTTCTCTCTAATGGGCAGAGTGGCATTGACATTATTTCACTTGAGGATCCCTCACTCTGTCAATCCCTCTTCATTTACTCCATGGCTACAGGACTCATTATGGTATCTCTTCCTCCTTCACTCCCCCTCACGCTCTCACTCATTCTCTTCACCTCCTGTCTTTCTTGCTCTCCAGCTATCTCTCTCCCTCTCTACACTGTTAGTTTCTTACTTAAGAGAATCGCTCGTCTTCACAAATGGTTTCACGTCAAGCCCACTCCCAGCTTGCCCCCACTGATTCCCTTCAGGCTTTGGCACAGGTTTACTGTAACAGATTAGACGAAGACTCGGAGCTCCTGCTAACTATCCATCACTTGCTAACAGTGGACTAAGGCTGTGTGC